ATTATACATTATTAAACTATTAAAACTGACAGAGTAAATATTATTTTACAGTGTTGGATAAAATAATTAAAAAATGAATTCAAGTACTTGTTGCTATGAGAAACTATTCCAGTTTGGTCGATTTAAAAATTTATTTTATGATATTAATTTTAGCCAAAGCTAAAGTCTCCGTAGCATATAATTTTGTTGAGTTTTTGTTTTAAGGTGTTTTTCTAAAAAATAAGACATTATTAAAGTGAGGTTATGAAATTAAAAGGCAAATAAATTAAAACTTACCGTTTTTAATGATAAAGTTTACTGGTTCCGGTATACCACAGTCCCAATAAATAATACAAAAAAATATACAAAAAAACACACAACCACGAAAAAGTAATGACAATGTCCACAGACGGACTCTAAAAATATTATACAATGGCTGTCCCGAGAAAAAGGGCAGCTAGAGGAAGAACACGACTCGATAGGCGCGCACGAGACTCCAATCAGCTTATGACAATAACGAATGACGATGTACATGCGCTGCAGGCACTGCCAAGAAGGCTGTCGTGGCGCCATATTCAAATATAACGAAAAGAGTTTAACGCCCACATTACCGATATATTTAAAATGTCCTAAAAACATCCCAACAAAGATGTTAAACATGTTTTGAACAGGGCGTCTTAAAACCGTCCGTTTTACGTACCAGGACATTTGGACTAAAGTATGACATGAACTGGACGTCTTTAAGATGTAGTGTGCTCTCTAGATATTATTAAATTAAGCTAGTAAGAAAAATTATACATAAATGTAAATAAATTTATTACTAACCATTAACTAATGCTAGTTTCGTACAATAACAAGAAGTTTTAGCGAACAACCCTTTTTTTATATCTTTTAAGTTTTTGTTTAAGAACTTGGTGTTGTCTTGTTTTTTTTCTATATTCTTTTATACCTGTTGTAAAAGTTATCTTCTAAGCCGTTTTATGCTAGGGCTTTCTAGGATAGATTCCTTATTTAAAGTTCTATTTGAAGGGCCTAGCTCAGCTTCCAAATGCAAAGCTCTTTTTTTTAAGTACTGCAAACAATCAATTATTACGGTAATATTTTAAATTATACACAAAAGGATTGCTAAATTCTTAAAAGTTCGTAAGATAATAATGAAAAGTAATTAACAAAATATTAATTATGTTTATTAGTATACGCACCTTCTTCGGCTGCATGTATTTAGAGAATTCAGGAAATAGAGTGGGAACTGCTCCATTTAGTAAACTTCTTTTACAGTCCGTCCCATAAAAAAAATGTCTTTCAAAATGTTTTGAACACTATCTATCATTTTGCGTAGGTATCCAATTTTTAATTTTCGTTGCCTGAATCCAAAGATTTTTTGCTGGATCCAGAGGAAATCTTAAATAAAACAACAAATAAACATTGCTTCAATTAAATACGAAGCAAAAGTAAATTAGGATTCAATAAAAGTTAATATTTAGAATTGCACGACACGCTACTGGAAAAAATTACATGTTTGGCCATTTTAATATCATTAATAATTGCTTAAATATCAATGAAAAGCATAAAATAAACAAACTTGGTAGGTAAAATTTATTACTTTGGAGTGAGATACGCACAATATGTAAATACCAAGTTGTTATAACACCAAATAAAATAAAAAATATAAGAAAATATATAAAGTGAAAACGATTGATGTTTATCATTTACCTGTAAAACGTAATATCTGCTTATTTCTTGCCGCTATAACTTTAACACTAATATGCCACACAATAAACCATTGTAATAAACCAATTATTAAATGTCGTTTAATTCAAAAATCAGAAATAAACACGAACGAAAACTTTGGTGTCACCGAAATGATAAGCACCAAAATAATGGCGGCCAATAGATAATCGGCACAGAATACTACGTGTGCTCGATATACTTGTTACGCGTCCTCTCTTTATTACCTAGTCTAAGGGTGTGCACAGTAAACGGGTTGGCATATTGTGCATATGATATAAACCCCCGTACAGGCTAGTCTATGTACTTTTGAGATATTAGCTCTCGTAACAGCTAAACTAGTTTTGCTACTCCAGGCTACAGGTCCATAAGTAATGATTGGTCTAACTATTGCTGCATACATCCATCGCAGAGTGTTCCGTTTACATCTTTTACTCACAGTAGTACAAGGGGTCTCGGTGTAATATATTTTTTCGTGGCCCCTTGGGTTAAAAAAATGCATATAAAAAATATATGAAAAAATAATAATTTTCTTAAAAACCAAAAATAAATAATAGGAATATTCGCAAGGTTAATAAAAACTAAAAATAAAAAGTAAATAAAATAGAGCTAAAACTTAAAACCTAAAACAAAAAAAGAGACATTTTCAAGTCTAACAAAAATAAAACTTAAATTTTTGTTAAATTAATATTAAATTATATTAAAGGAAGAAAATTCAGTAAAAATCAAAATATTTTTATTACGAACACTAAGTTATAGTTATATTATTAAAATGAGAAGAAACGAACATGGCATCTTTTCACAAAACACTTTTATTTACTTATTATATTTATGTACTTATACAACTTCTTTGTAAAATCTATTTTGTGAAAATCTACCATGTTTGGTTTTTCTCATTTAAATGACACTAATAGTTTATAAAAACTATTAAACAATATATTAAAACACTTTTAGCAAAGGAGAAATGTAAAACTTATTTCTTTTTTAACAATTTTTTTTTCGTGCTTAGCAATTGGCTAAATTATTTACTAATTATGCGATATCCATTTCTCCTGCCCGTGCACTTAGTCTTCTTTGGCTAATTCTTGATCTTATATAATTCTTAATTAATTTTAATTTACGAAACCAATTTTCAACACTAGCCACTGTCACAGGTAAAGTAAAAAATGTTATAAAGGTCTATCTCTTCTAGCGAATTGATCTTTTTAATTACAACCTTTTATCTGTGTCTGGCTGAATGGCAAACTGCCTATGCCCAAAAAAAAATTACAACCTTAAAATATTGCCTAATATTCATTGTTTCGTTAAATTTTAACTATAAAGGTACTGAGACTGTTAGACTATTTCTCTTTTGCAAAGATTTTTTCATTTTTTAATTATTAATTTCTTACACTCGAGAACTTTCAATCAAAATGGTTGTATTCTCTAACAATCCCCATAGCATAGTTTTGAATAAAAACGTTTTGTAATTTGTGCTATAATTTTAAAAACATAAATTTTTAAAATTAATAAGAATATATCCCCGGGGCCTTGGTAATTTGCACCAAACTTTCATAATATACGTAAATACCAGTTTCTTCTTATGTACGTTTCAAAGAAGTTTTTTGTCCCAGAATAAGCCTACAAATTTTACTTTTTTTTTCATTTTATGTCTATCCCGTCTAATTTGACGATTCTGAGATTTTCCTTGAGAAGGCTACCAGTGTTGTTTTGATAGGATTTATACCAAGTCCCACTTCGCAGCACCTTCTTTTTTGTGTTTTTAGTCCTCTTTGGATTATTTTACACAGGATATTTCTAAACTTGCCTCTAACATTATGACTGTGTCGTCGGCACAACCTTGATAGGGTATACCGAGATCAATCTGCGTAATTGGTCGTCTACGGCTGCCCTATCTGTGTCTCTGTAATTCTCGTACATAACAGTTATTCATATGGATGGGGTGCTATCTACTCTTCGGTATGCGAGTTCTCTTTTGACAGATTCATGTAGCATGTTGTCAAATGCTTCTTCTATATCCAAGGTTCACACGACTGTTTCTCTATTTGTCAGTGCATCTTGAATATCATCAGTACCAGGGTACTTACTGTCGATTTTTCTGCCCGGTATGCGTACTGGCTGTTGTGAAGTGATACCCGCTTTAGGATTTCTATTTTGATATACATATTTATAACGTTCTCCATTGTTTTTAATACAAAGGATATGAGGCTGATTAGTCGAAAGAATTTATGATGTGTGGTATCCTTTATTTTTAGTTTGGTATAAAGGTGACCCTGGTCCTTCTTCATGGTTTTGGTATACATCCAAGTTCCAGTCTGCTCCGGGATATAGGGATAAAATGTAGTAGTAATTCCTCCTATGCCGCTGAAGCAGAGCAGGAAACATCATCTCTGCACCTGAAAAGTTGAACGGTTCAAATAAGTTCGCGTGTTTTGCCACTGCTGCGGCTTTTCTGGAGGACCTACACGTTACATGTGTCCTTTATTTAAAGAGATGTGCTCCCAGGGAAGTGAGTTTCGAGTAATAGCTCTTTCCTCCTCACTCTCCTTAAAGCTTTTATTTGAATTCTTTAAAGCTATAGCTGTACCAACTCTTCCTTTTGCCAGATCTAGGTAGTTCACATAAAATTATGTTGGAAATCGTATATAGTTATGGTATTCAATATTTACAAAATGTGAAATTTCATAAAATTAAAATATTACAATTGCTATCTATTAGGTAGTTTAATGGTGTAAAGCCAAATTATACATTCGCATATATAGAGATTGTGGTATTACCATAAATATATGAAGTCGGCATCAGAAACAAAAATTTCCCACAAATTGGTACAATAGCTTGTATTATTTTATAAATAAAACAGTATACTAGCTTAGATGAAAAAGTGAAAAACATCTGGAAAATGTTGACCGAAAATATAGAAAGCCGACTCTGCCATTTTGTAGGTGATAGAAAAATGTCCTACCTTGTTAATGGTTCTGGTACGTTTTTGTCAGCCCATTCTGAAAAATAATATCTTCAAATAAATAAAAACACGTTCTATGGTAATAGGCCATGATAAAAAAAAAAACGGAGATAAGAGTCATGGCTGCGATAATTATACATGCTTCTGAATGAAATCAGATATCATTAAAAAAGTATTAATTGCATTCTCTGACTTGTGTCATTTATTCCATGACCAACTCTAGAAAAAATGTTTTGCCTTACTCGTTTTTATTGTAACACTACTTATACCTATACTAACTACAAAATTTTTAACGTAAAATTTTTTTAAATTAAAAACTTTTAATTTTCAGTTTTGATTTCGATAAAAAAATTCTGTCCTTTATATCCACCCACACTAAAGTTAAACAAGACGCGAAATATGATATAAACGGAAAAATATTGGTGTTACCTGTGTATGGAAAAGGAGATACAACTATTATATTTGGTAAGTACTATTACGTTGATTTTTGATAACTCAATTTATCTTAACTCAACTTTTACAATTCAATTATACAACTGATAACATGAACGTATAACGTCTATCATAAAACTGAAACTCTGGATCCTCGACTTATATAGCTCGCTTTAACCTTCTAGAATCTTCTTGAACTTTAGAGGTTTTTTTTGACAAGGAATTACATTTCTAGACATTTCTGGACTATTCTATCTTCTTCTTTTACTTGTACTTTTACTTATGACGACCGCAGAACACTGTAGGGTGATGGGTAACATTGCACTCCTTTTTTATTCGTATATTTCCGATAACAGCCGCAGAATACTGCAGGCTATAGGGTAACATTACTAACTTGTCACATACAGAGTGTCATCGTTAAGGGATAAAATATTCGGAGGGGATGATAGTGCTCATAAAAATATGAAAAAAATGTTTACATATACATGTGTTCGAAAATGCGTATTGGCAGAGATAGGGACTTTGAAATGTAAACTTTAAAAAGTGTTTTTTTTTTTATATACTAACTTACAAAAATTGATATTTTACCAAAATTTTAAAACGGGTTATTAAGTTTCTATAGAATCTGTATACATTTTCCAAAATAGGTTATTTTTTACACAAAAAGGAACTTTTGTTGAGATTCGATTAAAGGCACGATTTTCGACAAAATTGAATATAAAAATTTAGCTACAGTCCAAATATTAAACACTTAAAATCATTTTATTCAGTAATTTGTGACAATATGGATTTTCAATTATTTTAATTGACCTACTTCCTCACTAGTTTTTGACCTAAAGATGACCCTACCTGTAGAATCAGATTTAGTACACAATTTATTAAAGTTACAGAGTTCTATGCGATACATCAATATTTCGTTAGTTTGTATCGCCGCCAAAAGAGACTGCTAGCACAATAATAGGTTACGCGGGAGATTTACATGATTCGGTACGAAGAGTGTTGCCAAACTTCATATAATTTTGCTTTAACTGTTTGTATGATAAGCCGTGGGAGTGGAGGCGATGAGCACGGGTAGGGTTACTAGACGCCAGGAAAAGTCCGGACATGTCCGGAATTTTGGCGCTTTATCCGGAAGGCGCCAGATTTTTCAGAAAAATTATCAAACGTATACTTAAAATGCCGTATAAACTAATTTTTCTTTTATATTTTCATAATTTATTTTGTATGTTTACATTCTTTAATAGACGGTTGTTGTCTTGTGTAGTTGTGTTTGTTTGCGGCCTTTATGTTAAATAATAATTTATGTTTAATTTCACGAATTTTTAATTGAACTATTTTTGTTTTTAGTTTTCGACTTTTTTACTTTTTTCAATAAAACGTTTAGTAAATATTTCATGAGTTGGAGTTTTATTACTTTGTCCGGATTTTTAAAGAAATGTACGGAATTTTCATTAGGAATGTCAGGAATGTGTATTTTTGAATCTGGTAACCTTAAGCACGGGCAGCCCAAGCGAGCCAGTTAAGAGATAAGACCCAACTCAATCTTGTTCGCGAAAATCATTGTTTAAGGTTAAAAAATTTCGCATTATCGATTTGTTATTCGAAGTAATACTAGACGTCGCTTAATATTTCTATCTCCGAATGTCAGCAAATACGTAACACGATGAGTTTAATAAAACGTATGTCCCTAATGAATATGTGGCAGCAACTGACGCCAACACTGTCAGCTACTAGAGTAATAGGTCCAGTATAAGCTATATGAATAGAAAATAATAATTGAAATGTTTTGATTGAGTTAAATAAAATATCAAAATTAAATATTTTTATTTTTAAGTGAACGACATTTTTAAATGTATACATCTTCAATCAAAAATAATATACGCTAATACTCAAGTGTATACGAGCGTACTGGACAAGAGATAATTTTACACTTTACTTGAGTTTTTCGTATTAAACCATCAGTCATTGTAATGAAGCCAACGGTAAAATAGATATTTGTGTACCGATGCTGTGTTTTGGCCGAATTTGCGACCGAGGCTAATAAGCAACTTCTGATTAAGTATAGGCAATCAAGATTGACATCGAGATAGATGTCAAATGAGGCTGTTCTGAAAATGAACTTTATAGGACCCATCATCAGATAGACAGATAATTATAAAACTTGATATTCTAAAAACCATGCATACTACACTGGATAAGAACGAATGAAAGTGTCGAAAGGACGCTGAAGTCAATAAACAGACGGAACAGAGCTGAATAGATAGATAAGTAATATTTTAGCCAAGAGTCAATTAACGTTATAAATATGGTAAATTTATGAATGTATTGTTAATGTATAATTTTCAATTTTGTTATATAACTATAGCTGATATAATAAAACTCCTAAAAGTATATATATTTTCAATCTTTATTACTATAATTTATTTCGATTTTATTTATTATCCCTGACTTAGGGAAAAGGTTAGAAAACCCTGGTCATAATTGATTAAAATGTTGATATTCCTAATGATACAAACAAAAAATTACAGACGTATGATACTTAGCCGAAGAAATCTCATCGAGTTCACGCATGACGTACTATGGTACGGGATATGAATATGATGGCTATGCAGATTTAAATTTATTTTCGCGCACTCTTTTCGATCAACTGATACCCCAAATTGGTATAAGCCATGTTTTCGCACCACAATGTGACGTAGCGTCAATTACATCTTTCGGCAGAGGACGTAGCTCTTAGCAAGAAAATTTGTCAAAATTGGATCATTCTTCTTTCTTTTGACATTAAGGTTTTCATAAAATATCGGCAAATACTAAATTAACTAAAGAAAAATTATTTTAGATACAAATTTTTGTTAATATTATTGTGAATCAAGAACTTCATTCAAATATTTACTTATTTCTTCAAAAAATTTGCTGCTTTTAAAACCATCTGACAAGCTTTCAAAGTTGTTTTAAAATTCACTTTATTTTATATGAAAATGACGATAATTGACAAATAATAGATTGCCCATAAAGATGAAGGTTTGAATTGTTTCATAAGTTCCCCAAAATATGCCGAAAGCACATTCTCAGATATTTAGTTTACATTGTTTTTTATACGCCAGTCCATAAACTTTTGGTTTACAATTTCATACCTTGCCCTTGATTTTGGAGGCAGTAACTTAATAGTATTATTTGCAGCTTTTTTAAGAATATAAGAAGGAATTCCTTTAAATTTATTTTTATTAGTTCTCGAACTCATTTTATTCTCTAAAAAACTGATTTTGTAAATACAAAAATGGCTATTTTGGTCAAATGTCAAAACTATTTATCGTAACCATAGCCATCACCTAGCAATGGAGTAATATGGATAGTTTGATAAATGAAACTGTTATGTAATATATACGTAACAGTTTTGGGATTTCATTACGTAACAGTATCTGTAATGATGTGTTTACTTATAAACAAAATAGATAAAATACTTTTTTCTACACCCACATGGATATTAGCTAATCTATGCACAAACTACAAAACGAATAAGTATGCTATTGGGTTCAACTAAACAACTGTATTTTATATCCATTCTAGGTAGCGATAACTCTGCAAAAAAATGAAATACACCAATCACAGTTCATATTTTGGACACACAACTACTATTATTTCTAATATTTTGAATAAGGTGACAAATCTTTTAAACTAATTGTCAGTATATTTTTTAGTTATTGAGATTAAATACCTATACATTAAAAAGAGTAATTTTTGTATAAAATAGATAAATAATAGCATTTTTATTATTATTCGGTCTACATTTTGAAACAAAAATGTTAATTTCTATCGATCTATATGAAACTAATTTAATTATGAGTATTATGACTAACATTCTAAAAGTGACAATGGAGATGAGGTGGGCTGGGGAATAATTAAATTATATCTTTTTTTATGTTATTTTATTTTATATATTAGTAAAAGTCATAAATTATTTTAAAATTAGTTATTTTGTCTTGACCTAAAATAATTTTATAAATTTGTAGATTTTCGTTAGTGGTTCGTAGAAAAAATATACTGTAAATCTCGAATGGATTATAAATATCGCACTTAAATGATTTAGTACTCCGCCTACGGCATCGTTACAATCATATAAAACGTTTAACAGATGTATTTGTGCTACCTGGAGCACTCTTATGTATCTTACAGCTATGACGATAATAAAATTAACTTTAATATTTAACATTTGATTAAAAACTTAATTTGTTTATTTTTAGATGATGCAGTCCTTCATCATTACATTCATTTTAAAGAGGAAATTAAAAATGATCAAACCTATTTAAAGGTGATAGATTATAATGGCACTTTATCAGTTGGAAAGGCACACTTCGATTTTCAAAATTTATTTAATGGTGACAAGGTACTTGGCGATAATATCTTAAGAGTGATCAATGATAATTGGATGGTTATATTTGAAGATGTCAAAGAAGGTATCGAAAAATCTTTCAGTCAAGTTTTTAAAGCAATAGCCACAGAGTTTTTTAGTAGAATAACTTTAAACACGCTTATTCCAAATTAAATGTTGATATCAGAAAACAAACATTTTTGTTATTCCATTTTATACGCCACAATATGTATTGGGTTTATGAATATGGAAAAACAGTTCTTAATAATTAAATATTTGTGTATATACGTTTTGTTTTATTTATAGGTTATAAATGGTAATGATATATATTTATTTATTTATTTATTTAACAATATCCTACAGGATTTTCCCATTTACAGAACATCTTTACCTTATTCTGTAAATGGGTGATTCTCACCTAACTGTGATTTCCTTATCAAAAAGTTAATAATATTATAAATTTAGAGGTATTTTACAACCGACATTATGAATTAGATCATAAACCTTCGTAATTTTTTTTAAGCTGCATATAAATATACTCGAAATGTCAGTACCGTGGCATGTCCGATTCTCATTTTTAAAATTAAATATATAAATTTCTATCAAAATTCATTTTTTAATATAAAATTTACCTCTTATAACTACAATCTAATGCATACTGCATTGAATTTTATTGCAATTTTATACCAATCTTTGGATTGGTAAAAAAAAATAATCATTTATATGTCAGTACCGTGGAAATAATGTCAGTACCGTGGCATTAAAATTTTTAAATTTTGTCACAGTTTTCGTTGTGTCGTAGCTGTAGTAGAACCACTTTACAGGCTTATTTCTATGCATAAATAGAAAACAAAAACGCGTAAAACATACGTTTTGAAACATTTTTAATTTTAGAAAAATGTAAGTTGTAAAAATCACAGTTAGGCGAGAATCACCCAAACATCTGAAATAGTACTTATGGCGGCGTTGGCAAATGTATTAGCATAGGATAATTATTCTACATGCAAGACGGGCCTAATACGCAATAATTTATGCGGATTTTGCTTTTGTAATATTCTAATGGTATTAAACTATTTCCTGAATATATTGGAAAAAAGAACAAAATTGTGGAAATTTTACAATTTAAAAAGACTATTTCAAGAAATAAAATATATTCCCATTGGAGGCTCTACACAAAAAAATATATAATTTTGTTTTTCATTTACAGTTCTTTACAGCTAAATTTTTTTTTAATTGTAACTTGATTTTAACCATATTCCCAGATAGCACAAATACGTCTTATGGACGTTCTAAAAACGTCCTGCTTGGACATTCAGGACATCCTCAAAACGTCCATTTTACGGACGTGGACGTCTTATGGACGTCTTTGGAACGTCCATTGTTAATAATCAGGATGTCTTAAGAACGTCCATTTAAGGACATTCCATGGACATTTTCAAAAGCTTGAATGGGGAATAATAGGATGTAAGAAAATTAGTGAAAATAATGACTAATTTCAAAAAAATTTATTTGGAAGCAAATAACCTATAAATAATAAAATTATTGAAACTTTTTCATCAAATTTATTCCGTCTCTCCTCTTCTTTACGCTTTTCAACCATGCCTGGATTGACAGCAGTTGTTTTTTCTTGATTTGGCCATATTTGCCTTCTCAGTTGAACCTGAAAATAATTTAATGGCTTATTCAAAATGAAAGGCAGATCAATATGAAAATCAAATCTGTTTGTTAAAGTTTGCCCTGCTAGACATTATGAATTCACTAACCTTTAAGCTTTGTAGTATACAATGAAAATTCCTCTACTTTATTCTTTTCAACCATGCCTGGATTGACAGCAGTCATTTGTTTTTCTTGATTTGGCCATATTTGCCTTCTCAGCTGAATCTAAAAATAATTTAATCCCTTATTCAAAATAAAAGGCAGATCAATATGAAAATCAAATCTGTTTGTTAAAGTTTGCCCTGCTAGACATTATGAATTCACTAACCTTTTAGCTTTGTAGTATTCAATGAAAAACTCCTCTACTTTATTCTTTTCAACCATGCCTGGATTGACAGCAGTCATTTGTTTTTCTTGATTTGGCCATATTTGCCTTCTCAGCTGAATCTAAAAATAATTTAATCCCTTATTCAAAATAAAAGGCAGATCAATATTAAAATCCAATCTGTTTGTTTAAGTTTGCCTTGCTAGACATTATACATTCACTAACCTTTTAGCTTTGTAGTATTCATTAGAAAATTTCTACCTTTCTCAAACACAAACTGCAAAAAATTAATATTCATCAACCACAAACTCACAGAGTCGAATCACAGTCAAATGGCGGGATGATAGAACTTGTACTCGTATAATATGTATATACCATCGAATCATGAACATTAAACACATGTTTTTTCTTTTTTTTTATAAAACCTGAGTCTTGAGAATATTTCAGTGCTTGAATCTTTAATAATTAAAAATAAAATGACACTTGTCAACCATGTCTCTTTCTTGTAAATGACCTTCGTTTTTGTCTATTTGGCCTTTTTTCAATTGGATATTGGGACAATGTTATCTTTAATAATTATTTATATTATTTGATTATATATGTTTTTTATATAATATAACCAAATAATAATGCAATGCGAATGTGAATCCATGCAAATACAGTAAAGCACGTAAAATTAACGTTCTGCGGATATCTATTTCTTGACGTCCCGAGAATGTACTAAATTGGACGTACTTAAAACGTCCATAATTGGTCCTGGACGTACAGACGTTAAATGGACATTTAATGGACGTCCTTAGGACGTCCTGTGCTATCTGGGTTACTGCAAACAACATTACATCAACAGTTCACGTACTTTTAAATAGATGGCGCGACCTGAAAATTTCAAATTTATGTCGAATAACTAACGAGTCAAAACCAGCAACGTTGTCAATTTTTATGAAGGAGCGGAAGACGGGACATCCGTTATTTTATTACAAAAATTATGTGTACATATATTTTGCAAGTATACGTGTTTTATGTGTTAAATCTGGTTGTGTAGAAACGTCTAAAAAGGAAAGTTTTGTATAGAATAAAAATTATAGATAATAATATTATAACTTTTATTTGAAGAATTTTCTTTTCCAAACGTAAATAACAAATATATTTCAAAAAATATAAAAATGACCACCTATAAAGTACCCCCCAGATGTTTCGACTCTGCCCAAAATCTAAAAATCTAATCAGTTCACTAGAAGCCGGAATAAAGCTAAAGTTTAAAATTTTGTGTTTTTCTTTGTATCTGTTTATGAGTTATCGAGGATACAGACACACACATACACACACACATACACACACACACACACACACACACACACACACACACACACACACACACACACACACACACACACACATCACACACACCACACACACCACACACCACACACACACACACCACACACCACACACCACACACACACACACACCACACACCACACACCACACACACACACACACACACACACACACATACACATACACACACACACACACACACACACACACACACACACACACACACACACACACACACACACACACACACACACACACACACACACACACACACACACACACACACACACACACACACACACACACACACACACACACACACACACACACACACACACACACACACACACACACACACACACACACACACACACACACACACACACACACACACACACACACACACACACACACACACACACACACACACACACACACACACACACACACACACACACACACACACACACACACACACACACACACACACACACACACACACACACACACACACACACACACACACACACACACACACACACACACACACACACACACACACACACACACACACACACACACACACACACACACACACACACACACACACACACACACACACACACACACACACACACACACACACACACACACACACACACACACACACACACACACACACACACACACACACACACACACACACACACACACACACACACACACACACACACACACACACACACACACACACACACACACACACACACACACACACACACACACACACACACACACACACACACACACACACACACACACACACACACACACACACACACACACACACACACACACACACACACACACACACACACACACACACACACACACACACACACACACACACACACACACACACACACACACACACACACACACACACACACACACACACACACACACACACACACACACACACACACACACACACACACACACACACACACACACACACACACACACACACACACACACACACACACACACACACACACACACACACACACACACACACACACACACACACACACACACACACACACACACACACACACACACACACACACACACACACACACACACACACACACACACACACACACACACACACACACACACACACACACACACACACACACACACACACACACACACACACACACACACACACACACACACACACACACACACACACACACACACACACACACACACACACACACACACACACACACACACACACATATATACACACATTTTAAAAACTTATGGTTACACACCTAATGTGATGTTATTAACTTTCTTAAAAAAAATGCAAGGTCGTCTTTTTAATTATTTCAAACCATAATTATTTTTTTTGGGGTTGGCTGGATGGCTCACCCTGCATAAAAATATATTAGCTTAATGAAATAATTTCTCTGTGGCGCAACTGTAGTTATTGAGTGTTTGTAAAAATATATTGGGATATATTCGTAAAACACCCTTTGTTAAGTTTTATACACTTGTTATTTAGTAGTTGTTTTTGTTGTCACCTTGTATATAGATTGAGAAAAAATATATGTCAGTTAATAAAAGTCAAGTCATATAAAAGTCTTTTATATACATAATTGGTATTTCCTGTACGAGCAGATTATTTCCCGTACAGTGTTTGGTCCTTTCGAGCTACTGAAAGCGCTATGGAAGACATTCCAGTTGGAAAAAAAGCGCTGCAAGGTACCGACCTTCGCCGAAGTGAGCGACTAAAAGAGTTAAGTTCTAAGCGGGTGCCGGGCGAAAAAGTCATTCCTGAGGTTGAATTTATTGCAATGGAGAGTACCAGAGCTAAAAGTACTCCTCATTTGGGAAAGCAGTTAAATCAGAACTCAAATAGTTTGACAGCCATCAATCTCGCCGAGAAAGAACGTATTCAAAGCTTAAGGTCGGAGAGAATAAATTTT